TATCTGCTGTAAAATAATGGAGGCCATAGTTAAGAAAGCAACAGTGGAGTTCCTGGAGCAGGGCCATTTACTCTCAGACCTGCAGCACGGCTTCAGACAGAACCGCTCGTGCCTTTCCAGTTTATTGCTCTCGACGGAGCAATGGACTCGCGCACTGGACGAGAGTGGCAGGATCGATGTCATCTACACAGACTTTAAGAAAGCGTTCGACAGCGTCCCACACAAACGCCTAATCTACAAACTTTCTGAAATTGGGATAAGAGGAACGCTGCTGACATGGATAACAGATTTTCTTACCGGGAGATCGCAAACCGTGTGCATTGAGGCCTCAAGGTCAACTCCTACCCCCGTTCTAAGTGGTGTACCCCAGGGCTCCGTCTTAGGGCCGTTGCTATTCCTGGTTTACATTAACGACTGCGTCGACGACCTGGGATGCAGCGCCATCATGTTTGCTGACGATGTTAAGCTGTAGAGACCCATCAGATCTGACGCAGACAGGTACGCGCTTCAAGACAGTCTCAACCGTCTGAAGAGTTGGTCAGCTCGTTGGCTCCTTAATTTTAATGAGGACAAATGTGTGGTCCTGAGACTCCGCACCAGACGGACCAGTAAGGAGGACGATTCCTTTCAATACGTCCTTGGTGGTCAGTCATTTTCAAATGTTGTGGAACAGAAGGACCTCGGCGTCCTAATGACCTCCTCGCTGAAACCATCATCACAGTGTCCAAGGGCAGCCAAAAGTGCGATAAGGGTGTTATTTGCGCTGAGGCGAGGATTTGTGCAGATCGACAAGGAGCTGTTCGGAAAAACGTATGGGGCATTCGTCCGGTCTCACTTAGAGTATGAAGTTCAGGCCTGGCGACCGTGGTTGAAGAAAGATTATCAACGACTGGAAAGAGTACAGGCGATGGCTACGAAGATGGTCAAGAATCTTCATCATTTGCCTTACGAAACCAGGCTGACCGAACTAAATCTGTTTCCTCTAAATTACAGGCAACTGCGCGGCGATCTTACTCAAACCTACAGGATTGTCAGAGGTCGTGAGTGTGCCCTAGACTTTGATGAATTCTTTGAATTGGCCGGGACTAACCGTCTGAGTGGTTATCCCTTCAAACTGCAAAGGAAGCGGGCTCATTCGGACGTCCGACGGAACGCCTTCTCTCACAGGGTCATCGGGGCATGGAATGGACTCCCTGATGCCGTCGTTCTTTCCGAAAGTGCCAAATCCTTCAAGTGCAGACTAGATGCTCATTTTTTGAGAACCTACTGTACATACAATAACGATTATTTTAGAGGCGGCAGTTAGCGCATGGCTCACACTTACCGCTAACATTTTAACGTTTCGCTTTTGCGGATGTAATTGATGACTTTATTTCTGCTTATAGATATGAATAGGGAGCTCAAGGGCGAAAGCCTCATTCCCTTAATAAACTGACTTAAACTGACTTAACTGACTTTATGATTTGTACGGTTCAGGAGGAAAAAAACTGCTGGCGCCAAACTTTCGACCGTCAAGAAGGGAGGGGCAGCACGGTATCGGATAATATCAGTCGCCAATTTCATGAGGTTGGGGATAGTCCAAACAGAAGCGCCGAAGAAAAGTTGTCGTTTACGGCCAAAGATATTGTCCCTGGTGAGAACGGCCAAAGTGGTCAGAGACCACAAACGCCATCGCTACGGTACAGTCGTTCGGTGGATTCAGCACCCAAAATTTTTGGGCGCTTTTCTGAATGCAAAAATCGAGTAATAGTTCTCTTAAATAAAAGATACGTTGAATATTTAGTTACAGAAGCCAGTAGTGCCTTTTCTTGCCAATCTTGACGATCGATGAAGTCCATTTGGTATCCCTTGTTAGGGAATCCTTAGTTGCTTACTAGTTCTATTACGTCAAACATGGTCCTCCCGGTTTATCTTGACATTGCTGACAGTGCCCTTTCTGCAAATACTAGTAGACCACGTACGAATGCCTGCAATGACTTTATGCTGGACGCAGATCAAGCAGTAATATGCATTGATAGGTTTTTTATTAAGATAATAAGCAGATATGTAAAGAAAAACAGCCGACCGCTTAAAAGCGGGTGTTTGAGAGGTCATTTGGAAGGCCTCGGGTTTTTCGATATCTGGATCGTGGGGAAGCATACCGGCGCACATTAATCCACAAGGGCGTCGGCTGAACAAAGATAAGGCCGACACTCGGTCTGGTTAAGAAGACTTTCCCACTCTGGGTGATCTGAAGTGTGGTTAAATGGAAAAAAATATCGTTTTCGCGGCAATTTTGGTAGGACTAAACAAACCTGCTTATAACTGGGTGCTCCTTCCTTCCTTAATCCTTTTTTCAACTAGAGGAGCGACCTGCCGGAATGCAATCAGAATTTACAAGTTGTGTCCTTCCCTGTGGTTGCGTATTTTGACACCTCGTGAGGATGGAAGCTAAAAGTCGTAGATTTGTTATTTAGACATAAATTGCATTCTGCTCTGTCGTTCTTATGACTGTACCGTCGTCTGTTTACGTCGACGTTCGCTCAGATGCCACTGGGTATAGCTTCGTCGTGCCATGCATTTCAAAGTAGGAAATCAAGATCATACTGACGAGGAATTATGTAGGGCAAGCAAGGAATATTACACTGGGAACATTCGACTATTTGTCACAGACACGTCAGGGCTTTTCGGCCTGCAGGCGCACTGCCTACTGCCACAGTAATAAGCACAGACGACTGATTGAATGCGGATGGTTTTCTCGGAGAGACAAACCGCCCGACAGCCGCCGTTTATTGTTCCTTTGGACCAAAGGTGTAGCAGAAGTCGATCCACTAGCCTGGTTAACAGCTGTGTAATATGAACCACCTCTGACTGCAAACGGCTTTATTGTTGGTGGCTTGACAAGTGGTGGACCTAGGACGTGAAAGTTGGGGCACAACCTGTCGCTGCGTAACATCAAAATGGACTGCTGTTGTCGCTATCCAAAGTGTGCACACAAAATATTGCCCTCCAGCCTCATAACACATCATGTAACCACTGAACCCTCGCCGACGTTCCCTTCGTCTTCATTTACCACTACGGGGTAAGGCGGCGACTGGTCGTGGGAGTCAGAAGTGTTACTGTTTATGATTTAATGTGCGAAAACGCCGAATTTACGATGCGATTCACTGAAGCGCCTTCGGCCGTTTCCCTTGAGTTTCTCAAGAATGGACCATATGCACTTCACTGCTTCGCGGTACTTGTAAGCCTCATTGAACGGAGGCAGTTTGCACGGTTGTGAGTCAGTATTTCCACTCAAATTACAAACCCATAACACATCTGTCACGGTCAACCGTTTACAGTTTATCGAAGTGAGCCGAGGTTCAGCTCCTTTCGAAGCTATACAGTTGACTATGTGGACGCATGGTAGCTCCTAGTTCGAAAGGAACCGACATCTACGTTTATCCACCGTTTACGGCTATCCTCGACCCCTCTGCTTCCATCAAGATGCTTAAATAAAACATCTGATGCATGCGTTCTCAGCGTCTGACATATTGCTGTAATATGTCTGGATCGATCATCATACTGCCTGCGACGTCTGCACTTCTCGGCATCCATTCCTTCAGTGTCAATCTCTTTTGACTGAAGAAAGACCATTAGAGTTTTTACACGCTCCGTCATGCTCACATAGGGTCTGCACCATTGTCTGAGCACACAATTAAGTCTCTCGGTCGTATTTGTCGTGCTGTCACTGTAGGTTATGACGTGCGCTCGAGCATGGTGGGCCCTCATGCGCCTACAAGTCAATTAGTTTTCCTGGAAATAAAACCATAGCCTGGGAAAATTACTTTCAATGTGCCGCAGCACAGACTTTTACGCCGAAAAACTAAAGATTCGCACAGCCTTCCAGACAAAATGCATGGCTAAGTCAGCAATCTCTTTGCAATGGAGTCTAGTAACTTTGCGCCTAAAGGCTTGGAGTGCATGAAAAGTGCACAATAAAATAGAGGCCTCAATTTCGGGGAAAATACGTTCCCATGCTCGTATTTCTCTGGTGCCCTTGTCAATTAAGACCGTCCGTACATCCTCGG